CACAGCTGACATGGAGTTTGATATGGATAGCATCTCCACAGTAAACTGTAAATTGTCTTGGGATGTATGCTGCAATCCTGAATAACAGTTTGCTGCTGCTGATAGAAAATTCTTGTTATAAGCCTTTCCTTTTCTTGAACTGTACTGATGAACAGCCAAAATTGAAACTACAGTCTATACAGTAATGTCCATAAAGCTTCAACAAATAAATTATTTAATTATAAAAAAAATATTAACTTTTTTTTTTAATATCCCCATTTAGAATGATGGATGAGCATGTTTTGAAGAAGAAAAAAGTTCCATGTGAGGTTGAATTAAAGAAATCCATAGTCTTAAGTATTTTTTTCCCTATGAACAAGCATTTATGATGCTTAGTATTTATTACCAGTAACAAAGAAAATTCTGTGGCACAGGGAGATTGCTGATAGAAATGAACACTTTCCAAGAATAAGCCAGAGACTCCACTGACTCCACCTTCAGCAATGGTTTAGGTTTAACAAAGTTATGATCACTTAAACCATGTGCTGACCATTTGCAGTAGAAAATGTAATTTAATTGTGAGGTGTGCCCTTTGGGACACGTCAGGCTGTCTATGCTGTTCAGAGCATTCATGTTTCTTGCCCAACCCTTGTCTTTTTTCATGTAGACATGCATACCTTTTGTTTGTCACTTCCTTCCTCTTATTTTTATTCCTTATGAATGCCAATAATGATTTGTCATTTTTGTTTCATTCTTGTACATATGCTTTATTGGATCAGGCTGCAGAATAGAAAGGGGTGTTTCAGGTTACTGACTATCAGATAATTTTACATTATTACTTATTACTAACATATCTTGGGGAGAAAAATGATGATGTTTTTCTTGAAGCCAGTATATGGATTTGCCTTCCGCTATTTAATCACGTGCCATGACTTGGGGGAAACTATGATTATAAAGAAGGAAAATGATCACAATTAACTACTTTGAATTTCATTTTTTTCCATTAATATTGAAGCAGACAAAATTCTGACCAGTGGTCTATTCAGTTGGGGTATGAACATACATTTTATGGAGGGTTCAACATGGGGAGTTGCTGTTATAACTGTTGCCTCTCCACACTCTTGTAATAAACTAGTGTAGCAAAATCTCCCCAACTTCATGCTGCATTCAGGGTCTGTGCTGAACTGATTTAGCCTATTTGTATTGCTACAGTATCATGCTTGTATAACAGCTACTGCTTATTCCTGAGTACAGCTCCCCTTGCCTCTTGAAGCTGCTATAAATGTTTGTTTTTCTGTACTGTTACCATCCTTTTTACAAAGCTCTTTGGAAAAAGCTATTGCGTGTTAACTATTTTACTATTTACATGATAACTTCCTGACACCCCTGTAATGGAAAGATTATAATATTTGCAACTATGCATCTCAAGAGGCTTGACACTTCAAACATGTAAGAAATGAAAGCTTCCACTGTTGAGAGGCAATATGTTAAAATCAACCTCTTTTATATATGGAGTTATTTATACAGTAATATTTCTTAAAGTTTTAAAGGCTTTAGAGATTTAGATGAAATTACAAAAAGAGAAGATCCTGTAGTATTTTTCAGTAGGCTTAAATTTTAGCAAAAGGTGTGGGAGGTTAAAAAGACTCGCATTGTTATAGATATATGTTGTGGCCCTGATTCTAAAATCTGGATTACTTAACATAGTTATTTACAGTTTTGTTTTCTTGGAAAAAAAAAAGATCATGTCTGTACTAGACTGGTAGTTTGTATTTTATATTTTGTTTTGCTCCTTGAGGAGATGCTCTTGAGTGATGGTTTAACAAAACAGATCATAGTTTTACAAACTGATGTTTCTGCTAAATTTACAACCTGCATAAACCCAAAGAACCAACATACAGAAAAAGTGTAGGAAATTAGAGCAAGATGGAAGATATAAAACCTACATTTCAGAGTTTGTATTGTCTTGAGAATCATGGTCAAAGTTTTCTGCTCTGATTTAAGATTTCTCCTTAGATGACAGAAAGCAGTAATCCTGTGTCATTTCTGTAATTAGCTGGAATGTATCATTTATAAACACCACATATCCTAGGAAGTTTGAAATCTCTCATGTGAGCTGTATCCTCAAGCTACTCCGACTGGTTTGTGAACCACGAGCATCTCTATCCTTTATATGTGGACCAGAGTATTGCTTTAATTGTGTTTTGTTGTGACTTTTAACCGTGCCTTTCTTTCAGAGTATTTAGAATATAAAAACTGCCATTTACTGGGTCAGACCATAGATCCATCCAACTTGGTATCCTTTCTTACATGGTGACAGAGAGTGGATCCTGAGGAGAGAAAGCACAAAGCATATCCAGAATTTTCTACCCCTTGCTCCTTTCCCAGTTGTTACAATCAATTGCAGTCACAGCAGGGCATGCTTTAGAGAGAGCTCAGGAAACAAAAACAAGTTCCAGCAGCAAGGCTGATTTGGTCATATTATACACACTTTCTTTTGGGCATCATGGCCAAACTAATGGTGCTGTTGGTACCTTTTTTGCTGTTACTTTTTTTCCACTCCTCAGAGGATTATATCAGTTGTTCTACCTTTAAAGTTGAGTCATCTGTTCTTGTAATGTCATGCAGATTGCAGTGATGCAATGCAGAAGGAACTGGTGAGGATTAAAAAAAGTAAATGACACTCTTATTGAAGTACAGCAGCATTTAATCAAAGAAATCATAATCCACTAACCAGTGTTTTCATAGAAGGATAATAATTTTTTTTCTAGATTTAGAGAATTTGTTATGCTGCCCCTCTTATATTGAGAAGTCATAAAATTCAGTGGCTGCTGAAATACCATACTGTACTGTGTATTAGGGGTGGCCATCCTGCAGCATGGCTGCCACAAGTGGCACAGGTAGCCTCTGTGTGTGACATGCAGCAGATCAGGGATGGGATAGGCAGCACAACAGCAGGAAGCAGAAAGCAAAGCAGCTAATCAGGCTGAGAACAGAAAGCCACCCCCTACCCCCAATAATTAGACCCTATATATTAGAAAACTTAAAACATTTGATATAATTTTCCATGTATAGAATCTAATTATTTGAGGCTTGTCTTGAGTTTGTCCTCCTCCCACTGATATAACAGGAAAAATAAATCTGGGGTTCAGGTGGCCCCTTTGCCTTCATCTCCCCTCTTACTGTCAGACACTGCTTTCCCTAGAGCGGGAGGGAACAACTCTGAACTACTGCCGCCGCCACCTCCACCCCTGCTGCTGCCAGACCCTGGCTGCAGCCCTGTGCCCTGCAGAAATCTGGGGGGGGCACATGCCCCCTGTGCCTCCCCTTTCCTACCCACACATTAGTTATGCTTTTATACCTACTTAAAAAGAGTAAAAACTATGCATGATCTTAATCCAAAGCCAAAAGGCCCATGATTTACCATATAGTTCATTGGGCTGGGCCCCAGCAGAGTCGATGGTATTTCAAACCATGGTGACCTTACAACTCAGCATCCATGTATATTCCAGATACCTCCATAAAGGGTCCATGTGCTAATTAGCTGACCAGAACTGAGTTTTATTGGCATGAGTCTTGGGATCCTCCAAAAATTTATATGCAGATAAGGCATAGGACAGCCTGGTCATCTTCACCTCATGAAAGATGGGGCCACACTAATCATATGTGACAAGCAGAGAGAGGGGGCAACAGAGGGATTCTGGGTGAACTGTTTGGGGCCCCATTTGATGATGTTTCCAAGAGATTTAAGGCTGGTGAACACACATCATTTGAAATGGGAAAGAAAGGAACAGCTCAGCTGTGGGAGTGAACAGAAAGTTAAAATGTATGCAGTGCAATGGTTCGCTATGACTGAAAAAGAGTTGGTGCTGTGGGGGACTGGACTCGGTGTGCTTTACTACATGTCTTATTCAGATGTTGCACTAACATGTTTGCTCAATATGGGCCATGTACTTTATAGTCATGCTCAGTGTTGGCTGCATTTAATCAACTTCATAGTTGGTTTCCATTATTTAGCACATGCTGCTTTTAGCAACAGTTTAATGAAGCCAATGTATTTAATGTGTTTTCCTTGTATGTGAATGTAAGACAAGGGGCTTTTTCACTTGTGGTGTTTGAGGGAAGAACTTTGTCTTCTACTCAAGTAAATACAGCAGTTAATGTTAGCCAGAAGTAACCTATGAAACCTATGAATTTGGAACCTATGAAAGGTAATATTTTAATTTTGTTACTGAGAATTGTTTCACTGTATATTTCTTGGGAAGGAAAACTGACTTGATATAGATTATAATTTACTGAAATTTGGCAAAAGCAGGAAAACAGATCGATTTCTAAAAAAAAAAAAAAAAACAAAAAAACAACCAAACAGTTTTTCAGTAATGGTAAAGCCAGTTTCCAAGTAGTAATGGAAAAAAAACAACATGTACTTTATAGTGCATTACTAAAAATGTGAAGGTAAAGGAATGGCTGCTTACTATAGCAAATGTGATATACTGTTACTGTTGCATTGTTCTCATTCCATTGGTACCTCTGCAGATCTTGTCTCCATTTTATATTAAGACTGTTCTGTAGGCCAAGAACAGTCTTCATTTGTTCTGATCTTGTAGTATTACAGTCTAGCAGTAATTCCTTTTTGGGGCCTTGGGACACTGTTAAAACACAAACAATAAATAATTACAATGCTACATGAAATCGATGGTTCATCTAGTAGAGTATTAGTCCATTTCCAACAACGATCAATGCCAGGAGCTAATATGAGGTAGTTCCTGGCAATGATATGTCCACCTGTAGGATTTAATTGAATCCTAGCAAGAGCAGTAGATCAAAACTGAGTCGGATGTACATACAGGATATTTGACATGGAGGACTGAGACAAATTTTGTGTTTCCAGGCTGGAATATGGCGAATTGGGTGACATGATTGCATGTGCTTTTTTGCACAAACGCGCATGCATACACGTGCACGTACACGCCAACTTAAAAAACACTTGTTTTCTTGGTGTTTTTTTTTTTTGTACACAGGTGATCAGAGATATGAAGCCTTCAAATGTAGGGTTCTCCAGGGAAAGTCAGTCCCTCATTATGCAGCAATAGAGCCAAATGGAGATGGTCTGATGATTGTTTCCTACAAACCCTTCAAATTTCTGCAGGAAGAGGAGAGCCAACCTGAAGAAAACGAAGATGGGAAAATAGGAGATAAAAAGAAAGGTAACATTTGTTCTAGTGATGTTTTTTCAGAACTCTATAACTAAAAAAACTAACTTTTGCATGAACACCGCGTTCCCCCAGAGGCTGGGGAGACACAGGGAGCTCCCGCATGGGGCGCTGTTGGCAGCAGCAAGTGGGGAGCTCCCGCAGGAAGCCACGGTGCTGTGTGCGGCATGGCGTGGGGGTGTGGCCCGCAGATGCTGCCGGCAGTGTCAGCAGCGGCCAGCAGTGATTGTGGATGACCTGCGGACGCCATTTGTGGGGGGGAGTGGTGACCGCCCACAGGCGCCACCGGCAGTGTTGGCAGCGCCTTCTCGCAGAGCACGCACCGCCACACTTGGGGTGCATGTGCATCCCCTATGCATTGCCAATGCTTTTATGTTAAAATAATAGGTAAAAGGCTTATGAATTTAATAAGTTTGCATGCATGTATTAAGACGATCATTTGCTGACTTAAATGCCTACTACCGAGAAAAACAAGCATGAATATTCATGGTGGTTAGATGAGCATGATGGTCAAAGTAGATGAACGAAGATTTAGTGAGAAATTCTCTTGAGCCAACAGAAACTTGATAAATGAGGCCTGAAAGCTCATATCCTTTGTCTCCCAACTATGCAAACTGATGCAATACAACTAACACATCCCTCTTTTTTTTTCCCAAAGAAGTCTAAATATTTTAGTTTATCTTAAGCATGTGCTGTCTCATTCTGAGTTGTATTGCCCTAGCTATTTCAACCCAGCCAGTTGACTTCTGGACCTTCCTGAAGCATCTCTTTTTTGTATAGAACATACTTTGGAATTGGCAGAACTCCTTGGCCTGCAATAGATAGGTGTCAACAATTTTGTCTTACTGGAAGCGTCTCTTTGCAGATAATAGCTTTGGTTGTCTCCATGATAAAAAAGGTATGCATGCTACCAAAACCCCTTCCTTGGGTGCCAAAGATCTAGACAATCATCCAACACAAGGTTCTTTTATCATTGCTGCCATCCATCCACTGAAAACCCCATCAGGAGACATCTCTCTCAGTGAAAGCTCTGTTCCTCTGCTAGCTTGCTGATTCACATGAGTGTGACTTTCTGACTTGAAACCGAATTTCATAGTTCATCTTACAGGGGGGAGTGCAAGACCATAGCAACAGAGGGGCTATTTTGTTAAATATAGCAGAAGCTGTGTTAACCGGCACTTTATTAGCTGGACAGCTCTATAAACTGGCATCTGAGGGACGTGGCAAAAACAAAACCGGAAGTACCACTTCCAGGTTTTGCTGCTGCGAGCAGAGTTTGTCTGTGCCATTTCTTTGGCCCAAGGCTCAGGACAAAGCAGCCTGCGCAGGGCCCCCTTCCCTGTCCCCCAGCACACTGATGCCGGGGAGTGCACCAGACGGTGCACATTTGATTAACCAGAATATTTGATTAACCGGAATCCCCCATTCCGGGGGATGCTGGATAACAGAGCTTTTACTGTATATGTCTTCCTTAAAAATCAGCCTGTGTGCCTGTTGTTGCATCAATTATTCAAGTTATATTGTCCTACGCATGGTGTCCTAGTTGCAGGCTTTGGGAGTACTAAAGGAAGTCCAGTCATTGAGGGTGGTACAGAAAGTACACTGAAGCCCCCATGCTATGAAGGAGCTGAGTCTCTTTATGCTACATACCTCCTGTAACTGCTTCCCTTCTCTGCCTCCCAAGATCAGGGCTCCTGGGGATATGGCAAGAGTTACTTTCTCGTTCCTCCACTTCACTGAACTCACGCCTGCCATAACGTGATGGTGAGTTCTTGGGTTAAAAAAAACGTGCTGACACGAGGTTACTCTTTCCTGTGTTTTGATGCCTTGTTTGAAGGAACAGGTTATTAGTCCTCTTTCCGAGTCCAGACTCCACCCCTCTGGGCCCAGCCCTCGAGTCCCCACTCTTATGAGATAACTTTAACACCAAAGGCCTCTGTCTCTTGCACCCAGCTTCCCACCTGTTTTCTGCTCCAGATACCAAGTAGCCAGTCGAAACAAAACTGCAGTCCAGCAACGCTGTCATCTTAATAGCTTCTCCCTCACTGCCCCACAGTCGGTTCCCTGGCGGTGCTGAGTCAGTGCTCTCAGCAGTCCCTCCCAGGTTCATGGCACCTCTGGCATTGCAGCTTTCAGTGCTACCTTTAACTGCCATTTTTGCCATGGAAGATGCAGCTGTCTCTCAAGAAGCACCTGATCATTGGCTGGGGAGTCTCTTCGGGGTCTGTGGCAGATGTAACTAATTTCCCAATTAACAAACTTTACCTGTGCTGGCCTCTGCGTCCTCTTAAAGGGTCAGTATCCCTAATCCATTGATGATGCCTTAGTCTCTCTATACCTCTGTCCTGGTCCCCATTTCTCCTTGTCACTCCTCCTCTCTGTATCAACAGGGTTAGGGTTCCCTGTTACACCTCCAAATGCTCCGTGGAGAAAGCAGTAAAAGACAAAATCTTCCAAATCTGCCAGGTATTCTGCCTCACCGAAGGAATCAGCCTAGGGTACCCTTTTAAAAGACCTTCTCCATCCTCTGAACATCAGCACTTGTTTAAACAAATCCACTCATTCCTGAGAAAGTCCAGATGGGATATAGCCTGTATAATTCCGAGACCTCTAACTTGCCCGAGAACAGGGATTCTCAAACAGGGTGCTGCAGCACCCTGGGGTGCCTTGAGGTAATTTCAATGGCGTTACAGGATGGCATGCAGTGTTATCACTGTTGGGTGTGCATGATTCACAAACTAAACTCAGAGATTTAAAATAGGGATCTGTAGTGCCAAAGACATTTTGACCTGTTGTGGTCAATTGAATTCTTTGCAACAGGAAAATTGCTCTGTCACTTTTCAGTAGTCAAAAAGGGAAAGTAAGGGAAAACTAAGACCTGGCATTGTCCCAGGGGTTATTTGAGTCTCCATATGGGATGCTTCAAGTCTAAAACGGTTGAGACCCCCTGCCCTAGAGAGTTCTGGTATGTGGTCCTGCTGACTCTGTCGTCACAGTACCTGTTAATGCTCATGGCACAACATGACTCAGCTGTGAAGAGGAAACTGGCCCAAAGATCATGGCTTCATCTCATAATTTAGGTACAGGCTGACTGATGGTCATGGACAGAGATTGTACCATAAATGTCCAGAAGATTGTACCATATTTTGGTTTGTGGCATAAAACTCCAGTAAACTTGATAGAAGAACAAGATTGAAGAGATTTTTGTTTGAACAATGCTAATGCACCTGCCCCTGCTAGAGATGGCAACCATCTGCTGCCAGGTAGCCAGTGAACTAGCTACTAGTGTTTCTTCATTCTGTAATAAGCTATCAGAATATCTCTTCTATGCATTTTTCAGAATACAATTGAGTTGCGCTCTTTCCGAGAGAAAAGGCACAACTCTTTCATTTCTCCAGTTTTATTCCAGGTAAGTGTACACTACTATTTAATTTTTTAACTGATTCTGTGTTTCTACTTATGTTTCCATTTGTCAGACCCTCTTTATTACTGGCAACAGACTGAAGATGATTTAACAGTAACAGTTCAGCTTCCAGAAGACATCACTAAGGATGATGTAACTGTACAGTTTTCTCCTGCTCATATCAGCATAGTATTGAAAAGTCAGCGGCTGCCACTGTTAGAAGGAATGCTCCATTCATCTATTGATCATGAAAGCTGTACATGGATAATTAGAGAGAACAAGAGGTATTGTATTAAATTGTTTTTATTTTTCCTATTTAATAAACAAAATTCACCTCTCTTCTATGGTCCCTGGGGGAGTGTACCCCCTTAGCAGCAGGCTTCCATTTTTGCAGTGGGGAGTCCTGAGGCTCCACTACCCTGACACTGAGTCATTAGGTTCAGCAGCTTTGTCGTTCATACCACAACTCCTTTAACTGGTTCAAAAAGAGCATGAAAACCAAGTTGAAGACTTTTATTCATCCTCAAAGCTGTGTAGCCAGCAAGTGCTTTGCAGCAGCAGGAGTTTTTTGAAATAAGAGTTAAAAATAAAAAGCCAAAAATTATAGCTAAGGACAGCCCTGCAGGAGTGGCTAGGGTAAGGAGCACTGCTCTCCTTCCTCCTAGTGGGTGTTCAAGCATGGTGGTAGCAGGATCCCAACCAGGCTTCCTTGTAGCTTGCCACTAGAGACCATCCGTGAGCCAGCACCTACCCTCCTTCCCTCCAACCTTCAAACAGGGAGGGAGAGCAGAGGACTGTGTGATCCTGGGGACTGAGAGGGGCATAGAGGCATTACATGTGGTGCTAGAAAATTGTTTCCTGAGAAATTGCTGGTTAAAAGCTAAGATTTTTTTTCATAGAACAGATGGCTTTTTGTTCCATGAAAAACACCTTGAACACCTGTATGCTAGTGCTTTTGTTCCAAGAAAAGGACCCAGCTAAATGTAACACTTGTCCATGGCCTATGTCAAAGAATTTGCAGAAGCAATCTTAAATTCAGTCTTAATTTTTTTTCACTAAGTAATAATAAGCAGATCAATGGAATACTAAATAACTAGTACCATTCACTTTTTACGTTTTATTCAACTGGCAAAATAGATAGCTTAAGAACTGAATGGGTTCAGATCTGCAGTGTCTTCTAAAAGCTACAGTGACTTAATTTTTCTTTCAGTTAAGCTGGGGTAAATAGTGCAACTCCACAGAAGTATCAAATCACTCTAAGTGAAATCAGAATAGACTTCTCTGGGGCTTCATTTTTTCATCAATAAGCGACCACTATAGTTGAATAGCTATGTCTTTAGTATCATCTTTTAAGATGGCAAAATGTATTTTAATACAGTTTCATTCAGTTAATTCACTAAATAATTGAATAAATGGTGTCCAATATGAATGCGTTTGTGTGAAGGTGTAGATTCTAGCTATAGATTAAATAATTTTCTGTGTGGACCAAAAAAAGGTCCATTTTCTTTCAAGACCAGTTTTGAAAAATGTGAGAGCTGTATTTTAAACTGCACTTTTAAAAAACTCTTGTGCAAGGCTGTATATATTAAAAAAGCAAAGAGCTTTGCTTGAGGCCAAAAGAAAATGCAGAGCTAGGAAAAGATTTTTCAAGTGATCCTTTGCTCATGGTTTGTGAACAGGACTTGCTTCCGTTCATTTACCTTGCTTATACTTGTGAGGGATAAGGGCATGAAGCGTTTTCTTCTCCTTGTTGTCAAGTGGAACCATATTACGACTCTTTGTTTGAATTGCATGTTAGGACTCCGTTGTTTTACTAATGAGGTTAGTATTGTGAAATTGCCTCTATCTTAAAATTACCCACTGGAATAAAGTGGATAATTTTAGTTCATGTTAAGAGAATATTCTTTACATAATATCCATAGATGTAACCAATCCAGTCTTCCTTCATAATAGCCAGGCACTATAGGTAGAGAATCTTAACAAGGTTAGTCAAACAAAAAGGTAACATTTATTGTAGTGTTATGGTCTCTGTGATTGTGTTAATGCCCCGCAGCAGTGTAGGACGGCAGCTGGATTCTAATACAAATAGCTCCGATTTTAATAGGAATGAGGCACGACTAATGTTTTTCATTACGCCTGTAATAGGATTACATTTCTGTTTTGTTATTTTAATCTAGAGGCAATGTTTGTAATAGTGAACCACAGAATGAAAAATTAACATTTTAATTAGGCATGTTCAGCACTTTTCAAAATAAACAGTGTGGGGCTGTTTGGTTTGCCTCTCTCATGAAAAGGGAGTGGAAGGAAATCGCCTATTTAGAAAAACAAAACAGGGCATCATCCCCCAATACTCCCCCCAAGCCCTCAATCTTCAACTTCTCCTATAGCTTACTCTGGATTTCCTGGACCAAACTGAGAAGTTGTACAACTAGCGGTGCTAGTTTGATGCTTGTAATAAGACGTAAAGCAGGAGTAGTCAACATCTTTTGGCCAGAATGCCAAAAAACCCCACAATGCTTACCTTGGAAGGTGCTGGAGTGCCAGCATGCCAAAAAAACAAAATGAGGGCAGGGGGTACATGGCAGGATGCCCTGCTTGTGCCCCTTGCCCCTGTCCCCCAGCCTGAGCTCTGTGGCTATCAGCAGCTACCCAGAACCTGGGCCGGCTGCAGCCAGGAGGCTGCAAACAGCTGCTGCTGCTCCGGCCCTGGGCTCCGGGGAGGTAGCGGATACCGGTGATGCTCCTCACCATGCTGCCCTCACTGCCGCTTCTGCAGAGCAGCATGTGAGACCCGGTGGGGCAGGGCACAGCTGGGGAGCACAGAAAGCTGCCTGCAGCTCTGAGTTCCCCACTGCCCTGGTTACACTTCCCCTGCAGGCGGGGGCAGCAGCAAGATGGACAACCCTGCGCTTCTGCCCATGCTGCTCCCATACACACGGGCAAAATGTGACCAGGGCATCCCAGAGCTTGCAGCTGCAGGCAGCTTCCCCGTGCAGCCCCTCTGCAAGCTGCCGCTCTGGGTCACACGCTGTACTTCCGGCCCTGCTGCCCTCTCTTGGGGCCTCTGTCCTTCCAGCTGGCTGCTGGGAGCAGCCCGGGCTCTGTGGCTATCAGCAGCTACCCAGAACCTGGGCCGGCTGCAAACAGCTGCTGCCTCCTGGCCCTGGGCTCCAGGAAGGCAACAGGTGCTGGCACTGCACCCGCTGGGGCAGGGAGGCAGCAGCTGTTTGTAGCCTCCCAGCTGCAGCCAATCCAGGTTCTGGGGTAGCTGCTTCCAGCTATGGTGCCTGAGCTGCTTATAGCCTCCCAGCCACCTTCTGGGAACAGCCCGGGCTTCTGGCTGGCAGCAGCTACCCAGAGATGGGTCAGCTGCAGCCCAGAGGCTGCAAACAGCTGCTGCCTCCTGGCCCTGGCCCCAACGCGTGCTGAGGAAAGTGGGCTCAACTGCCAGGGTTTGCCAACCCCTAATGTAAAGTATATGTTGTAGGTTAGGCTTGTGGGGGGGAAAAACAGAAGAGTAAAAAGCAGCTTGAGCAGACCTAAACTTTCTACTGTATTTGACATTCTTCTATGGATTGCTTTTCCTATTAGAACGCCTCCTGTGCCCCATCTCCCCATCTGCTGCTTCTAATAAATTAATTGGGTATAGTTTGAAAATGTATAGTTTATCACCAGTTATATTCTGTCTGAATCCAGGTCATGGAATCATATAATGAAAGATTTTTATAAATGGTGCTTTTTTTTCCATCCCATTAGTAATACCAGTCTCAAGTCTCTTTGGTCTACAGATATTAACTACTCATATTGATATTAAAAGCCATGACTGATTGGAGAACAACTGGGTCTTAAGTTTTGAGAATGAACTGTAATCTAATATTTCAGCCATCTGCATTTTTAAGGAAAACCAAATTTAATTAAAACTATTATGAACAAAAAGTGAATGCATTGTAAAGTTGCAGTGTTTCATTAAAATAATGTGAGCTGTCCTTTATCTAAACATATAATTCTCTGTTCCCACTGGAGAAAACCTAAGGTATAAGCAGAAATACCCATGAGGTGAAAATATTTGATAAATGTAATATCCTAAAATACCTTATGGGGATCACTAGAAGGGACTTAGTCCTTTTTCCACTGGAAGAGGGGGGAGTAAGAGGATGACCAACCACAAGAAATATAACAGAAAGAATAATAGAACCCAGTCAGTGCAGCTAAAAAGACTTTTTTTTTTTTTTTTTTTAAAGAAATGAAATGGAAGATTTCTCTTTAAATAAATGTGTGGTAAGAGAAAAATAGCTTCTGGTATTTAAGACTGAAAATATTCCTGTAAAGCAGATGCCCATAACTGTCCACATTTTACAAATGGGAAAAGAAAGGATCATAAAGATCAGTTTACCATTTGTAAGAAACAGTATTGCCACCCTACCCTGTCAAAAATCATAAGACAAACACTTAAAAATCAAGAGAATTGCAATGTAAATCATGAGATGCTATTTTGAAGTGTGTGTGTGGCGGGGGGGTTGTTTGTAAAGGTGTGGGGAGAGGGGTTGGAGCCCAGAGTAGGGGGGTCCCTGCATACCCTGGTAGTATGTGGGACATTGTGGGTCAAGAGTGAGGGGTAGCAGCAGGACTGGAGCGGTAGTGGCTTGGGAATGAGGGACAGACAGGTTGCTTTGTGGGTTGTGCTGCAGCCGCGAGCAGCTCGTTCAGATGTGCAGTGGGGCTGCGCAACTCCCTGCCCCTGCACGCATTCCTGGATTTGTGCTCAGGGTGGAAGCAGGCTGCTTGCTATGAGCTGCAGCTCTGCGCCCTGCTGCCTTTGTCCTGGGAGCCATGCAACTCCATCAGGCAGACATGAGACACGTGACGTGGCCAACATGCGGCTCCCAGGCCCAAGCCAGC